GCATTTATATTTAAAAGTGTCTGTCATGCATTTTATCTGAAGTATATATTTTAGTATCAAAATTATAATCATGTGATGTAGAAAACTCTTGAGCATAATGACATTATCTGTGACTTATTATAAAATCATCATTACTTCTACTGTTACTTTTAGAATAACCTTTATTATATAATTAGATTCTACTATTTTAGGAACAACTTTTCAGAATTTAAAAACATGGTTGAGATTAGTATATAGCACAAATCTCATGAAGCTCTTAGTTCCTACATTATGTTTAATCTATGTTCCACCATTTAAAATGCAGAAATTTGTGTATACAAAATATGTAAAGCTTGCTATTGTAGAAATACTTGAAGGCACCCTAACATGTACAACTAGTAGACCCAAACAGGTCAGGTGCTATTTTGAACAGTGAAGTAGACAGAATCCAGGCCTTTTATTATAATATTGACTCTCAAATCATTTGATTATCATTCTAAGGGTATTGAGAAGTACCAAAATTATCCAAATGACATTTACAAAGGTCATTTTTGCAGTGTGCAGAATGGACTGAACAGAGCCAAACATAGATACAAAAAGACCAGTTTGTACTGAAGGATTATTTGACTGGGTATTAGTCTTAATGAGAACTTGGACATATTAAAATGGAACGCCTATTTCTGAATAGTCGTTGGAAGAATTGATGACATTTTGGTGGTCTGTTAGATGTGTATGCTTAATCAGAGGAAGAAATACAGGATTGCTCTTAAGTTCCTGGTAAGATAATGGCACATTGTATAGGCCATGAACATGTCAAAGAAGCAATTGATAGAACAGAGGGATAAAATGAAAAGATTGTTAGTTCCGTGCTAGAACTCAAAATTGTTTGAATTATTTTGAAAGGTAGATGAGAAATATAGTGCAGATCTTATCTGGACAACAACATATGTAGACACCAAAAGATAAGCCACTCCTGCATTTGATATTGGTGGATTCAGGAACAGTACCTGGAGCTATGTTTGCTGAGGAGCTCTAGGAGGGTGAAGATAATGGAGGAGGAGAAAATGGCTTAAATATACTGTGTTCTTTCCTTCCTGAAAGGGAACAGCAATATTTCAACAGATGTGAGAAAGGTGTTAAACCTGAGGCACAAACAGACCAAAGAATTAGGACCTTGTATAAGCAAAGATAAAAGAACATTGTGCAAAGGAGAAGATTCATGTTGTTGGCTACAAATGGAGAGAAAAATCAAACAAAACTCAAAATTGTCTTTCTATTTTCAGGGACAAAGCATAGAGATTTTTCATCTGCAGAAAAGGTATGGGTTAAATATATAATAGATTAAAACGATCAAGAAAGATGAAAAGGTTCTTTCATAAATTTTTTCTCAGAGTAAAGTAGAGAGAGGTAGGGCTCTAAATAGTTTTAAAAAATAAAATACAAAGGGGTCATGGGTTAAAAGGAAAATCTCTACCCTTCAAGACAGAAGAGATATAAGCAAGTCTGTGTTGATATGAAGAGGCCAGAAAGTATTCAAGACACCACCAATAAGAGGAAAAAGGAGATAAGACCTTGCTGGAGCACTGTGAAAAGGTGGAAGGTATGCAGATTATGATGAAGAGACTGAAAAGTTCATCACTTTAATAGAAAAGAAATAATAGGGCTCGGGGCTGGGAAGGTGGCTCAGTGGTAGAGCGCTTGCTTTGCATGCATGAAGCCCTGGGTTCGATTCCTCAGCACCACATAAGCAAAAAGAAAAAAGCCGGAAGTGGCGCTGTGGCTCAAGTGGTAGAGTGCTAGCCTTGAGCTGAAGAGCTGAGGGACAGTACCCAGGCCCAGAGTTCAGGCCCCATGACCGGACCCAAAAAAAAAAAAAGAAATAATAGGTCTCAATAAAGAAAGGCTTATAAACCAGGCACTAGTGGCTCACTCCTTCCTACTTAGGAGGCTGAAATCTGAGGATCAAGGTTCAAAGCCAGCCCAGGCAGGAAAGTCTGTGAGACTCTTATCTCCAATTAACTACCACCAAAATAATAAAGTAACATTGTGGAAGTAACATTGTGGCTTAAAGTGGTAGAGTGCTAGCTTTGAGCAAAAAAGCTCAGGGACAGCACCCAGGCCTTAAGTTCAAGCCTCATGAACAACAAAAAACAAACAAGCAAAAACAACAAAAAGGCTTATAAATTTAGAGAAAGTCAGTGGAGTCTAGTGCTTCCTTCTTTTGGTAAAGTAAGAAATGGGTCATCAATTGGGAAAGGAAAGGACAAGGAAGAAGGTAGAAATTAGAGGAAAATCGGGAGACTGATATAAGGGATGACATTGATCAAGTTGCATTGTACTCAAAAACTGACATGCTGAATTGAAGCTCTTTTCTAAAACTGTTTACAAAATATAAACGTATGAAAAAATGTATAAAGGGGACATTTGAAAATGACTTTGGGGGACATAAAAGGAGGAGCCAAGTAGAAAAACACAGGATTATATTGAAGGCCGCTGTGATTAGTGACCATACCATTAGAATGGTGCTCATCTGCCAAGGGGTATCTGTGCCTCCAAGAACCTGTCAAAACTTCAGGTACAGAGGAACCTCTGGTTTTGTATACTAATGGCAAAATATCTTTTATTTTATTATTTTTGCTTATTTTCCACATAAGAGGAATACTGTGTTTCTTTAAAATCATGTTTCACTGTGTTCTCTACATTATAGTGCTCTAACATGACTATGCCTCATTCTTCACTCGTAACTGGTTTTGTGTGGATGTATTTGAGCAAGCTGAGGATTAAGCAAGAACCTTATAACACAAAAAAATGCAGTGAATCATTTGATGAAAGCCAGTTATAGGTGCAAAGATAATTCCTTCTTAGATGAAGACAACACAATGCACTCTCTTGTCTTACTGAACAGCACTTGCAATCATGTAGATATTTTCCCTTGTGTAAGTGAATAGATTTGTGACAAAAAAATATTGGAGTGTGAAAGAATATAAGTATCATGTATTCCATTTCTGAGGTCTTCATAATTATATAAAAATGTACATGGATATAGGATGATATTTTATATAATATATATAAGATGCTTTATATTAAGTATAAAAGTCATTTGAATTATTTGGCTGATGATTAGTTTCTCATTTTTTCTATTTTTCTGTTTCTATTTTTTCTATTTTCTTTTCTTTCTATTAACTTTATTGTATTGTAAGGGTGATGTCAGAGTGTTACAGTTACATAAGTAATGAGTACATTTCTTGTCGAATATTTTTATCCTTTCCCTTGTTGTCTATTACTTTCCTCCCCAACAACTCCTCTCCCTCCAAGCTGTAAAGTTCATTTCCAATGTAGTGTCTTGTGAGTATTGCTGTTGCGTTTGTTTACCCTTTGTATTTTGTCTCACCATTTTGTTATTCTCTTTCCCTTCCCTAAATCAGATAAACAAATGTACAAGACACAAGATACCAAAATTCAGCACAGTGACAACAGGGGATAAACCAATAGGGAAAATATGAAAAAAAAGCAATAACTTCACACAGTATGTTATAAAACAAAAACAAAGAAACAAAACCTCCTGCTCCCATGTTTTGGTGTTCATTTTGATTAGCATCATTTTATATGGTCATATGTACATGGCTATTGAGCTATTGTGGTCCTCTTCTAGCACTATCTTAGACATAAACTAATTATTACAAATGAGGAAAACGATGGAGCCTATGTATCTTTGGGTCTGACTTACTTTACTTAATATGAGTTTTTCCAAGTCTGTCCATTTCTTTACTAATGGGGCAATGTCATTGTCTCTGATGGAAGTATAGAATTCCATTGCATATATATCATATTTTCTTGATCTATTCATCTACTGAGGATGCCCTCATATCTTAGCTATAGTAATGAATATAGTTGTGCTCGTAGCTTTAGTGTGGCCTTGTTTGTGATCATTTGGGTAAATCCTAGGAGTGGGATTACTGGATCATAGGGAAGCTCTATGTCTAGTCATTTGAGGAACCTCCATACTGCTTTCAGAGTAGTTGAACCAGTTTACATTCCCACCAACAGTGTAGTAGTATTTCTTTTCCCCACACCCCCACCAGCATCTATTATTAGTTTTCTTGCTAATGGGATAAGTGGGCTAAAAAATTAAAAGGAGATTTCTCTGGATGGGAAATAAGAATAGTCAATAGACACATGAAGAAATGTCCAACAGCTCTGGCCATAAAAGAAATGTAAATGAAAATTGTTTTCTTTTAAGGACAGTAAAGAGTATTGGCTATCATACATTAGAAAAGAGGGATAGAATGAAACCAGTCAAATATTCATTATAAATGAAGTTTCAGGCAGTAAGGGAAGCAATTTGTTGGGTGTCTACTATGTACCAAGTATATTAAGGTAGAGGAGATTTAACAAACTTCCACTAATTTGGTCTTGTGGAAAGGTGTTTTTTTCTTGCTTTTAAGCTAAATCAAACAATAATGAGGAAATTTAATTAGTAACTTGGACTTACGACAATTCTACAAAATGCTAGCATTAATGCCAGACATCTTCTCATACAATTCAGAATTTAATGAACAATTACAGTAGATTGTTGCACTCCATTTATAAAGGACCTTATTATAAGACATCCTTCCAGGATGACCCTTAGAACAATGTTATAGTACATTTAATTAATCATTCAACTCCTTTTCTGCAATTTTTGTCAGGGTTTATATTTCAAGCTGAACTTGCAGTTCTATTAGTTGGGTCTATCACTAGGAAAACTTAAATTGATAAATTATTCACCAATGAACTCATTTCATTGCATTTAATCTTCTTAATCACTAAATTTTCTGAATAGCTTCATAATAGTCCATGGTTTGGCCTGAAGGGAATGTTCTCTATATGGAGTTGTTGTTATTACAGAAATGACAAACAAAAGTAAATAATTAAATGAGTAGAATAAAATAAGTTTTGTGCTGCATGATGGTGAGGTCTGATAGTGCATTAAAGTGAGGCTTCCCTATTGAACTTTGTCTTCCTTGACAATAGTCTTCTACTTTATTCAATGTGCTTATTATGTGCACAATTCTTACCAACTGTGTATTTATGACAATGAGTAACCCTCCAGACTGGACAAAGAATGTGGAGTAAGTAGACAATCTTAAATGTCTCAATATTGATAACCCTTTATGTTTCCACTTATGACTTTAATATCTTGAGACCTTTAACAAATCAGTTTAACAAATCATGCCAGCTCCACTAAAGCAGACAATGATTCCAACTCATTTCAAGCACTAATTTCCTTTAGGACAAAGCTAACAATCATTTGCTTAAATTGCTTAGGTTAATGCAGTGGTTTGTCTGCCCATGTGTACAGCCCTTTTTCTTTCTTGTGAGTCTTATACTTGAGAATTATCAGTAATTGTTAATGTTTACTGATAAACGTTATGCTTAACATGTATTCCTTTTCTCAAGGCTATCACAGTTCTGTCTTAGTGATACACATGTCTTGGCTCCAGTTTTCTTGGCAATACTTGGGTCTTAACATGGAACTTCTTGTTTGCTATGGAGCAAAGACCTTTTGACTCTGGTTATTTTTGAACGAAGGTCTTCCTTTTTGCTTAGGCTAGCCTAAGCTGCAATCCTATTATTTATACTTCCCACCATAACTAGGATAATAACTGGAACACACCACACCTAGATTAATCACAACAATATCTTTTTGCCTGGGCTGACTTCAAACTGTAATCCTTCCAATCTCTACTTTTTAAATATCTAAGATTAAAGATGAGCCTCCAGTACCTGGCCCATTTGCTAGCACCTAAAGGTTCATATTTCATTAAAGGAAAATGCACTATTCATTTTGAGATTAATATCCCAGTGTATTTTGATATCACCATATATAGATATTATTTTAATTCTTTAAACATATTAATATAGAAGTATAATATTCACTTATTTACAGTCAATATCTTCATTACCAATAGCTTTCAGAATTCAATAGTACTTTCAGAATTTAATAGTACTATTTATATCAAAAGGAGACCAATACAAAATCCTCTAATTTTTTTGTCATTGTTGTTCAAAGCATCTTAAAGTACACAGGGCAAAAAGCATAGCTCAGTGATAACTCATTTAATTAAACCTGTTGGAGATACCTGGCACCAACTGTGATTAATAATAATAACAATGTAAATATGCATAACCTATAAAATTTTTATTGTGAGCTTGGCTATTTTCTCTCAGGTACACCTTTACAGGAATTTATACATTTGAATCACTTATTAAAATACTTGCAAGAGGTTTTTGTTTAGAAGATTTCACATTTTTACGGGATCCATGGAATTGGTTGGATTTCACAGTCATCACGTTTGCGTAAGTATTGTCATGCATTTTCTATCCTGATAAAAATAAATTACTGGTGAAAGCTTATTTCTCTGTGGTGGCTTCTCTTCACAAATCAAGCATTTTCTTAGTCATCATGTAAATTTGGGATCTTTTCTTCCAATCAAATTGTTTAGGAGAAACTAGGAGCTATCCTAATAAATTATATAGCTTTGGTTTCAATTAGCACTGTAAAGTAATGAAATAAAGCTTCACAAATAATAGAGATTGCAATGCCATTCTTCTCTTAAATGAGAAATTTGGTGGCAGAATTCAATGAAGTTGAAAAAGGTCTTAATTAAAGACCAACACAGGCTTAGATTTCTCAAAATTCTGAATAACTCTGATTTAATTCTACAGGTATGTAACAGAATTTGTAAACCTAGGCAATGTTTCAGCTCTTCGAACTTTCAGAGTCTTGAGAGCTTTGAAAACTATTTCTGTAATCCCAGGTAAGAAGAAACTGGTATAAGGTGGTAGGCCCTTATATCTCCAACTGTTTCTTGTGTTCTGTCATTGTGTTTGTGTGTGGACCCCTATTACAGATATGTGACAGAGTTTGTGGACCTGGGCAATGTCTCAGCGTTGAGAACGTTCAGAGTTCTCCGGGCATTGAAAACAATTTCAGTCATTCCAGGTGAGAGTTAGGTTAAACACCGAGGCTGACTTTAGCTGCATTGTTGCTACAATTACAGCTTTTTTTTTTTTTTTGCAAAAGCTTTATTGCTTGTCGCATATTGCAAATAACTGTAAAAAGCAAGAATTTGTACATCATGGTTTGGATGGACTTTATTCTTGGCTTTTTACTGGCTGCTTTTTTTCAACTTGTTCTAAATCAGCCTTTGAGTTTAACGAGTTTTGCATGAGGCATTTACAGTACAAGGCTCTCTAGTGGGCATCCTGCAATATCAAGCTTTCTGCATAGAAGATAAATTATGAGACAGTCAAGCTGTTGCAAATCTGACCCTGTCGGTCGAAACCTGGTAATCTTTATAACTGCAGATAAATGAAAAGCAAGAGGTGGCATGGGTGCTGCATGGGGCTCACTTTTCAGATGTCTTCCCTCTCTTCACCCATAATCAGGCTTTTAAAATTTGTAAATGTATAACCTCAATGGCTTCCAAATTTCTCATTCTATTCCCTGGACTTTTCTAAAAACAATATTGGGCTGGAGAGTAAGACATCTGCAAATAAAAGCGAAATGTTTACATGAGGTTGATGTTTAAGCATGGACAACAAAACCATCTCTTTGCTCTAAGGAGTGTTGAGAAATACATCTGGTTCATTTCCATTCAGTTTGCAATACACATACAAGTTCTGCTTTCATTCATTTTCACCAGCTAGCCAGCTTATCATAAAACTGTTATTCAATCACATTCAACTAATATTGTTGGCATTTTGCATGACATTTATATTTTCCAGGACAAACTGATGATATTTTTGTTGGTAAAGTAGCCGATGAACCACATGTTCAACTTCTTCCTCCTGATTTTGTTTGTAGGCCTGAAGACCATTGTGGGCGCCCTCATCCAGTCGGTGAAGAAGCTCTCCGACGTCATGATCCTCACTGTGTTCTGTCTGAGTGTGTTTGCTCTCATTGGGCTGCAGCTGTTCATGGGCAACCTGAGGAATAAATGTTTGCAATGGCCCCCAGACAATTCTTCCTTTGAACTAAACATCACTTCCTTCTTTAATAACTCATTGGATGGAAATGGTACTACATTCAATAGGACTGTGAGCATGTTTAACTGGGATGAATACATAGAGGATAAAAGTAAGACATGACCCTTTAACCTTTCTGTGTTTATAGTTCTTTTAATATTCAAAATCATATATGATGGAAATTGTCTCAAGTCTGATGTGAGACAAATGTCTTACAGTGTTTTGGGGTAACTTCAAACATGGCATAGTGGAATTCAACAGTATCTTATTCCTCTTTTCTTACATGTCAATTGTTCGGATAACACATCATTTGAATGTGTGTTATCTTTTCCACATCCAGTACTGAAGATAGTTTGAAATTATGCTGCATACACAAAAATATTCATTTGGTGGACATTACAAAATTTGAGCCATTCAGTGTAGTATGCTGATATGTGTTGTTAGGAAGAGGAAATGTGAGGGAAAATAATTTGGACTTTCTTATCGACTCACTCAGCGTATAGACATATATGATGTGTACTCAAAGCTAAACCATCCCCATTCAGTCTTTCATTGCTGATACTGTACTTGGTTGATTTGATATTAGTCATTGTATAATGTTTATCAGTGTAATTTTCTTTTATATTAGGCATGGACATCAGAATAAGTTTATATGCCATATAGTTGGGAATTTCTCTTATCACTGAGGCCAGTCCCTCTGTATCTAATAGCCTAAGTCTCTTCCTCTCTGCATACTTGTAGGCTAGCTAAATTCTATTAATAATTTGAGATATTTTTCCTACCCTATATGCTTTCAGAAATTCATGAAATTACACACTTGTCACACTAGAATATTGTTTAAAGTATAACATTCTGATGAAAAATTTTACTAGAGAAGATAAGATTTATTGAGTAAATGAATAAATAAATCATTCCATTAATTATGAGGCTTCCCACGTGCTAATAGTAAAATAACAGATGGTGACAAGATTTGCCCATATATTTCAGATAATTTCCTTCAAATAGATTTTTAATAACAGTATTTTTGAGAAGGTGCTAATAAATATTAAGACCATAGAGATATAGTGTTAAATTACTCATATTTCTACTCACTACCTCCTGCCCGAAATCTCAGAAATATTTACTATAGCTATATTTTTAAGAACTAGAAGGAAAATGTGCTCAACACTATTTTTATTGCTTCTTAACTATTAATTCAGAGAATTAAGACTTGTAATACCATTAACAAGTTATAGAGTTCATAAATTGTGAGTTCTTTGCTGATAATTTTACCCAATATTTTATCAAGTGAAAATATTTTGTTGGAATTTATATGGACCCTTTAATTTACCAAATATACTAACATATTGTCTTTCCTTTGGCAAGTATATTTTTCAACATTTTTTCCATCTTATTGCTTTTTTCTAATGTCAAAGTGGCTTTAATTTTTTAGGCAATCAAATCTTTGAAATTGCTTTTCATTATTTATCATTTTATGTTTAGTAAATACTTGTTGATTAGGAGACAAAAATCTAGTCCTTTCAACAGGTAAAATAGCCATATATATTTTGATGTCACATTAACAGACTTGAATTTAAATGTATAAACACCAAGGATTATTTGTGATGCATATTTTGACAGATGGATCTAAATTTGCAAACAAAATTATGATTTTTCTACAAAATATGTTAGAATAATCCTATTTATTCTTAGTAGAATGGAAGTTTGAACTCAGGCCCTTGTGCTTGCCAAGTAGTTGTTATACTGCTTAAGATAACTTCATACGCTGAGGTCTCATGTTTTTACCAAGAGCTGACTTCAATTTTAGTCCTTTCAATCTCTGTCTCCTGAATGTCTGAGGTTGAAGGTGTACCTCACCACACCTAGGTCCTTAGAGTAACCTTTGAATATAGTGCTTCAATAGTCTAAAATATTAACTTAATAATCTGAGAGCAGTTCTTGTATGTGTTTGTTTATCTCTATGGGACATTTTGTCTGCAGCTATATAAATATACATGGTTTTGTACAGTTATATTTCCTAAAGGATTTTTTCCAACTTGTTAAAGCTTAATTTAACTAGATAAATTAATGTTCATTTTGGTTCACTTAAAAGAGAGAAGTCAATCAAAACCCCCAAAAAACACCATAAGAAGGAATAACACCTAAGCCCAGGTCTCACAAGAAATTAAGTGAAAATTGGCAGGGGAAGAAAAATATGTCTGGATCTATTTAAAGTCCAGTCAAAAGGCATTTATAAAATAAGCTTTCATTTACTTGGAAGCACTTAAAAGCAACAAGACTTCCATCTCTCTCACTTTGTGCTAAGCAAGCAGCCTTACTTACACAGCTCTCTCTTCAAGTACCCTAAACAGTTGCATTAATATCAGTTATTTTGTCTATCTTATTAAAAATGCACACATAGTTAAGCTTTGCTAGCTAAGTACAGTGCTGAAGACATTTTAAAACCCTCTAATTGACTCTTACTATTCCTTGCTCTTTAAATAGGTCACTTTTATTTTTTGGAAGGGCAAAATGATGCTCTGCTTTGTGGTAACAGCTCAGATGCAGGGTAAGTAGTGTTTCCTATTGATTCTTAGTCGTCCTTACTCTGTCAGCCTCAATAACTTGACTTGTCTCACCTCTTAGTACCCACTCACTCCTCCACAAATTCCCCTTCATGCTGACTCTCAAAATAGCCAGAATAAGTGTGGATTCTCACCTCCTTCACACACTCATATGCAGCAAGTTTTTCCATATTAGGTCACATCTAATCTTCCAAATTAGAGAGGAAAGCAGTGCATATACCTAAGAAGCTTAAACTAACAAAATTCATAAGCATGAGGTTGAATTACTATACTATTTTACGATAATGGGTTATCAATGGGTTAAAATTATGAAAATAATGTCAATAAGGTAATACATGTCAAGCATAGTTTGGTAAATTGCATTAAAACAAAAAGTATTGCCCAGAGTCTGCATAAATTCAAACTTGGCCTCCACAGTATAATATCATTGCTCCTTGCCTTCCATTTTCATGTAACAAATAAAATAATAGTCATTAAGAATATTAATAATTATAATATTACTATAGGATTTAATTTATTATGCATGACATCATGCTAATGTTTGCTATTACAAAATTCAGAGAAGAATTGCCCTTCACTATTTGGAAACATTTCAGAACTGTAGGGAAAAGTCTAATGTTTTCCTGTGGATGATAACATGGACATTAATCAGTGGCACCTGTAGCAAAATTCCCAGCAATAATATCCTCTGCACTTATCTCCTGTGATGAAACTTTTACTGCATTTATCTACAGATTACAAAATAGCAGATAAAAACAGACATTTGAATTCCTTGTCTGGGTTATCCTAAATGCTTTCTCTACAGTGTCATGTCCAATTATTACAAATGTTCAAGGCAAGTTCAAGGCTAACAAAAGGTTAGCCTGTTCTACATATTAAGTGCTAAAAGCTAAAAAACATTAGGAAACTTGCCCAACATCATTCAACCCAGAAGCATCAGGCACAACACTGAGGTGATGCTTGCTTACTCGGTACAGTATTCTATGAAATCCCCATTGCACAGTGTTGCTGCCTCCACTCATTGTCACACCTCCAGTCTCCACATCATCTCTCTACCCTGCCACACATTTACATATTCTTCTGCCTCAGAACATCTTCAGGGGAAATCTGATTCAAGTCCCTAAGTCTCAGAAAAAGTAAATCAGTATATTATTACTTTTATATGGATAGGTGGCAAATATAACTTTATAACTGAAGATCCTAGAAGGATATACAAATTGAAATTCATAGAAGGTATTATATACCAAAGCCTCTCCACATGCTGCAGGGTTAAGTACTACATAAGGCTAGAGAAATCAGCTTTCCCCAGTGCTCAGATAAAATAGATTGGCATCTATAAAAACAGAAACACTAACCAGCAGACTTAAAGACACTGACTTCCTCTCTTTTCTGTAACCGAATTACAGCCAGTGTCCAGAAGGGTACATCTGTGTCAAGGCCGGTCGAAATCCCAACTATGGCTACACAAGCTTTGACACATTTAGCTGGGCCTTCTTGTCCTTGTTTCGTCTCATGACTCAAGACTTCTGGGAAAACCTCTATCAACTGGTAAGAACAGACATAATGATTCTTCTGGGAAGTGTGAACTACAGAGAACAAGAGAATTGGTATAGAAACCTTTATTGCTTCGAGTGGGAGCTTGTAAAATCCTATATAAAATATTTATTAAAATGCCTCTTCCATTTTTACAGACACTGCGCGCTGCTGGGAAAACATACATGATATTTTTTGTGCTAGTCATTTTCTTGGGCTCATTCTACCTTATAAATTTGATTCTGGCTGTGGTAGCTATGGCTTATGAAGAGCAGAATCAAGCTACACTGGAAGAGGCAGAACAGAAAGAGGCAGAATTTCAGCAGATGCTTGAACAGCTTAAAAAGCAGCAGGAAGAAGCTCAGGTATTGTTCTCAAACCTAGAGGCCTTACATTTTATTTCTCTAAATTCTCTGACATTAGAAATACATTAGATGTGTGTGTGTGTGTGTGGTTGGGAGGAGGAATATGACTTTATTCTGATACTTACAGTTAATACTAATGACATCAAAGCATGTAGAAGTACAGTTGCTTTATTGACTTTCCTCTTCTCCCTTGTGACCCCTTGAGGAAATTATTAACATTTTCATTCATGGAGGCTCACAATGTAGAGAGATATAAACCTCAATTGAAATACTACTTAGTCTCCCGGGCAAGAGGTTATAGTTGTTTCTCCATTATAGTATCACTGGAGGGGAGAGAGGTCAGAATACTAGAGTCAAACCACAAAGGTTATATGTACTCAGGAATGGCAAAAGGCTTTAGAACAGTGACAACAGCAGTTCTCCATACATAAGGCTCAAATGCAGGTTTGTGAATTACATCAGAAAATCATTTTTTAAAAAGCCACTTTGCCTCTTATACTGCAAAACCTTTGAGGACTTGGTGAGTCCTCAAAATAAACCATATATCACTCTAAAATAAAATAAAGTATATCTTACCCTAATTATTGACTTGATGACATTAAGTAATCCAATTGCTTATTTTGGTGTTAGATGTTGAGTGAGTCTTCATTAAACTGGCCTCCCTGAAAACAATCAAGTCAAGTGTTCTGAGGAGGTAACAACACTGGGCTTCTTTCAAAAACTGTATTTTTCTAATTTATACATAGATACCAGGATCTGGGAGTCCACAATACACAGTCTGTTATACATCTTTGCTGTGCATAAATTGACTAGTGAAATACTCAATTTAAGTAAACAGCAACAAAAAAAAGTTCTGTAAGTTAAACACTTTGCTTAATAAAATTCACTTACTCAGTCTGGAAGTAAAATTCCTTGTCAAGAGCAACTGTTCATGACCCAAAGCAAGTCAAGGGTAATAGGACACTTCTTCATTTCTATCCCTTCTTAAGATATTCTTGAAGTCATAGGACAGAAGCAGGATGATACTGAGGGTCTGCTTTGTGTCACAGAATGCGAAAGAACCCTGTGCAGGTCTTCATCATGTCACTGGGTATGAAACTTGGACAGCACTTTCATGAAAATATTGATGTGATTATTTGTCTGAGGAAGGTTTTCTGTTTTCCAAAATACAAAAAAAAAATAGAGTTGATTTACAAGGATGCATTCTGCATATGAAAGGTAAAAGAACCAGTAACTATATAGCCATTCAGAAGTATATATGCAGCTGGTTGTTAATTTTTCCTTGTAGGCAGCAGCAGCTGCAGCATCTGCTGAATCTAGAGATTTCAGCGGAGCTGGTGGAATAGGAGTTTTCTCCGAGAGCTCCTCCGTAGCATCCAAGTTGAGCTCCAAGAGTGAAAAAGAGCTGAAAAACAGAAGAAAGAAGAAGAAGCAAAAAGAACAGTCTGGAGAAGAAGAGAAGGAAGAGGTAGTCCGAAAATCAGAATCTGAAGACAGCATAAGAAGAAAAGGATTCCGGTTTTCCTTAGAAGGAAGCAGATTGACCTATGAGAAGAGATTTTCTTCTCCACACCAGGTAAATAGACATTTCCAAAATTTCTTTTGCACAATCAAATATTTTACTTTGTAAGAATATGCCAGAGTTTGGCAGAGCTAAAGTTGCCTTCTTCCTGGATGTTTTGCAATGGTAATAACCAAGTGTTTTGGCTGCCACTTCAGAGATCTTGTAAGATTACCACTTTTTGGAATCCCTGGAAGGAATTTTTAGATCCTACAGAGCTTGGGGAGGTTTGTGATTTTGAGGGTTGTTTTTCAAAGATTTGAGCCTTTCCGGGCAGTTTTCCACCTGAAGAATGATCAGCAGATGGGTCTGATCCTTTCTTAACTACTGTGCCTGTACCCAGTGAACTGTAGGCTTTCTGAGTGGCAGATGCTTAAAAGTGGACCACAGTTTGCTTCCAGACCATCTGTGCGGTTATTCCCATCCATGAGCAAACTTCACACACACAATGCATCCTCCATTCTTCTTTCAAAGGAAACTGAAGAAATTTTTTGTTCAAAGTGTAACCAAAAATCTCAGACATGCACCAAGGAAAATTTATGACACTAAATAATCAGCAAGGTTTAATTGCACGTGACTTTATGTCCCTGTTAAAGTAAGACTTGCTTCAAAGGATATGCTGCATTTACATACTGCAGAAAAATTTCACTGGATGCCTCTCATTGTGGAAAACTTTGCCACAAGCTGTGGCAAACTTAAAATTTAGGATTCTTAATTACCTTTAAAATTACAAGAGAAGACCCAGGGCGATAGAGTCCCTCTGGGGACAATTAAACCAGAAGTGAAACCTTAACATCTAAGTAGAAACAATAACAATTACAGCATCATTGATGCTGATGATAATACTAATGTTTAAATAATGCAATACTGGTTACAATATAAATTCATTTAAGAATTCATTTAAATCTTTATTACAACCCATGTAGGTATTAATTTAATTATTATTCCAAGCTTTCAGATATGGAGAGTGGGCTGTGTGCTTTGTTGAGCAGCTATTTTATATGAGTTTCCTTCCTTCCTTCCTTTTTCCTTCCTTCCTTCCTTCCCTTTTTCTTCCTTCCTTCCTTGTTTCCTTCCTTAACTTATATTTTGGCACACGTTCTCATGAGTGTGTATTTCAATGGTGCAAAATAATACATCACATTGTGATCATTTTACTACATGACTATGACATACCTTAAAAATATCATCCCTTATCCTCTCTTTTCCTCCATATTTTCATCCTTATTCCAAATACTCCCCCATATACTTTTATGTGGTTTTGTTGGTGTTTTTAGCCTAGATTGCCTATATAATAAAAAAGCAATTGATATTTGTCTTTCTGAATCTAGCTTATTTCACTTATTTTATTATGGACATATACACACACACACACACGTTTTATGAGTGTCCAGGCTGATTCCATAACATAGCTATTGTGAATAGTGAAACAATAAAAAATGACTGTGAATTGTATGCTAACTCATGAATGGAATGCTTGGGTTATATGATATAATATGGTATATGGTATAATATGGTTATTTACTTAAAATTTTGAAAAATCTTCACAGTGATTTCCATAATGGGTCAACCATTATATTCCCACCATCATGCATATATGTCATAGATCCTCAACATTATTGTTGCTTGCTGTTTGGATCTATTTGATGAAAGCCATTCTCACAGAGTGAGTTGGCATCTCAATACACTTTTTTGATTAGCATTCTCTGATGACTAAGGGCAATGAATATTCTTCATGTACTTTTGGCAATTTGTGCTTCTTTGGAGTACTGGTTTTTTTTTTTTTCCCGCTCACTTGCCCATTTAGTGATTTGATTGTTTATTGTTTTATCCTTTAATTTTTTAAGTTCTTCATATATTCTGGAAAAGAAAGCCCTGCCAAACAAACATCTGGCCAAGGTTTTCTCCCTTTCTGTGAGCTGTCTCTTCTTCCTCGTCATCATTTCCTTTACCATGAGCAACAGTTTTTAATTTGATGCAATCTGATTTATCAGTTCTTGCTATTATTCCCTAAGCAATTAGCATTATAATTAAAAATTATTACCTATACATGTATGTTAAAGTGCTTTCTCTATGTATTCTTGTAGAAGTTTTAAACTTTCAGGCCATATATGAAGGGCTTTGATTCACTTTGCACAGATTTTTTTTACAGGTCAAGAGATAGGGATCTAATTTCTGTCTTCTACTTGTGAGTATAGTTTTTACAGTTTTCCCAACACTGTCTGCTAATGACATTGTTTTATTCCTCCAATATGAGATTTTTATTCTAAAATATTTTATTGCGGTATATTAATTATATCAAGGTATAAATGGATAGTGTACTTTTATTATATTCAATTCTCTCCCAACACCCTCTTCTTTTCCCTTGACTCTCCTTTGTGGAGAATCAAACTATTTAATTTTATTTCTGGGTGTTCTATTCTCTTCCATTAGTCTACATGTCTAATTTTGTATCAATACCATGCTGATTTTACTTCCGAGCTCTGCAGTATAATTTGAAAGCAGGTCTTGCAATACTCCTTTTATTCAAAATTGCTTTGGTGCTTTAAAGCCTATTGCATCCATATGGATTTTAAGACTTTTTCCATTCCTATAAAAATATCACCAGAATTTTGATATTACATTGAATTTGTAGATCATTTTTTGTAATATGCCATTTTTACAATATTAATTCTACCTATCCAATTTTAATACCTTCTTCAGTTTGTTCTATATTTCATAGATTTCATTTTGAAAGTCTTTCACCTTCTTGGTTAAGTTTATTCCTGGGTATTTTAATTATTTTAATCATTAAAATAAAATTGCTGGGGCTGGGAAGGTGGCTCAGTGGTAGAGTGCTTGCCTTGCATGCATGAGGCCCTGGGTTCTATTCTTCAGCACCATATAAGCAAAAAGAAAAAAGCCGGAAGTGGTGCTGTGGCTCAAGTGGTAGAGCGCTAGCCTTGAGCTGAAGAGCTGAGGGACAGCACTCAGGCCCAGAGTTCCGGCCCCATGACTGGACCAAAAAAAAAAATTGCATTGCTGATTTCTTTCTCAATATGTTCATTACTAGCACTCCGAAATGTTGCTGATGTTGTCCTGCTACTTTGCTGAAAGTGTTTATTCAAAATAAGTAGTTTTTGGTTGATTTTGATGTGGAGGTAGGTTTTTGGTAGGTTTTGATGTGGAGGGCCATATCATTTACCAATAGAATGGGGATAATGTGACTTCTTTACTGTTTGTATCACTTTTATTTCTTGCTCTTGCATTTTTCCTAGGGCTGAGGCTTCAAGTTAATTTTTTGTTGATAGGACATTGAATATGAATAAGGAAGAATGAACATCCTTTTCTTATTCCTGATTTTAGAGGAAATGTTTTCAGTTTCTTTCTTTACCCTTTAGTAGGATACTGCCATAAGCTTTTCATATATAGACTTTATTATGTTGAGGTATGATCCTTTTATTTCTAGTTTCTACAGACTTTTATCATGAAAGAAAATTGAATTTTGTCAAGGCTTCTTCTTTCTGGGATGATGATATAACTCCTGCCCCTCGTGCCATTTGGGGTATATTTTATTTGTATATTAGCATATAAAGAACCATCCCAGCATCTCTAAAATGAAACAAACATTATCTCTTACTGTACTGCTGAATTCAGTTTGCAAGTATTTTATTAAGGATTTTTATGTCTATTTGCATCATGGAAATTGGACTATAATTTTTGTTTTCTGTCTTGATCACATCTGGTTTTAGTATTGAGGCAATAAAGGCTTCTTAGAGGAGGTTTGGAAAGTTTCTGTATTTCTGTTTAATACAATTGTTTGAGGAAGACTTGTGCTTAGTTTATCTTTTTATTTTAATTTTATTGTAAAGGTGATATAAGGAGGAGTTACAGTTACATAAGTAAGGTAATGAGTGCATTTCTTTCTCTCTTTCTTTTTTCTTTCTTTCTATTTTTTTTTTTTTTTGGTCTGTGGTGGGGCTTGAACTCTGGGCCTGGGTGCTGCCCCTGTGCTATTCAGCTTAAGGTGAGCACTCTACTGCTTGAGCCACAGGGCCACTGTTGATTTTCTAGTGGTTTATTGGAGATAAAAGTCTCACAGACTTTCCTGCTCGCGCTGGCTTTGAACCGTGATCCTCAGATCTCAGCCTCCTAAGTAGCTAGGATTACCACTGGCACCTGGCTGAGCACATTTCTTTTTTTGGGGGGAGGGATACCTGTTGTGGGGCCTGAACTCTGGGCCTGGGCGTTGTCCCTCAGCTCTTCAGCTCAAGGCGAGCGCTCTACCATTTGAGCCACAGCACCACTACCGGCTTTTTTTTTCTGCTTATGTGGTGCTGCGGAATAGAACCCAGGGCCTTATGCATGCAAGGCAAGCGCTCTACCACTGAGCCACCTTCCCAGCCCTACATTTCTTTTTGAACAGTGTTATCCCCCCCTCATTTTCTCCCCCTCTCCCTCCCTCCCCTCAAGTTGTAAAGTTCATTTCCAGCATAGTGTCTAATGAGTATCACTGTTGCATTGGTTCACCCATTGTCCCATTGTTTCTGTGATTCTCCTTCCCTTCCCCACCTCAGACAAACATTTTAAATTTTAATTTTATTGTCCAGATGATATATAGAGGGGCTACAGTTACATGCATAAGGTAGTGAATACGTTTGTTGTCAAAATTGTCACCCCCTCCCTCATTGTTCTTCCACTTTCCTTACCTCTCCTTACCCCCCCCCCAAGTTGTACAGATAATTTTCAACATATTTTCTTGTGAGTAATGCTGTTGAGAGAATTCAACAGTGAATCTGTTTCGTGCTTAAATTTTCTTTGTTGGCAGACTATGTATTGTTCCTTTGGTCACATTTTTGTCATTGATCTGTTTAAGTTGTTCATACATTTTGGTACAATTTTAGTAGATCACATATGGTTAGAATTTTGCCTTTACTTCTATATTTTGTAATTTGTTGGAAAGTAAGTTGCCAAAGTGTTCCTTTATTAACAGCTTTGAATTTCATTGGTATCCTGCAATCGCCTCCTGGATGCAT